GTTACTGATCAGACTTGTGGATATTGAACCCACTTTTGTTTTGGAGAAGATTAAAATTTTCCTTCTGAACATCTTTTGTTTTAGCCGTTTGTATGGTTCATTTATTCAGTATCTTCATGGAAAAGATAAATGTGAAATGTTCTATTTGAGTATAAGTAATATTAATTGCTTATGTTTACTTTTATCTTAAATGAATTCATATATCCAATTATGTCATTTGGTTTAATATCTTAGAAATTGTGTCCTTTAGGTGTTTTGTTCATTTAATCATGTGTTAAACCTGTAGAACATCACTACTTTGAGCTGTGCATTTTTACCAATGGGAAATCATAACAGTGTCCTATTTTCAGCTTCATTTAAAAAAATAAAGGATATCGGTATGGAATAAGGTGCATTTACAGAAATCAAATGCATCAGTTGTCACCAACAGCAAAGAAAGATTAAGTGATGTGAATTAACAACTACATTTGATATGTATTTCATAGACTAAACAGAGCAGAAACCACTGTATGAAATTTTGTGGTCTTTTTTATATGCCAGCTCGTGCTACATCATAAATGGTCATTTTTTTTAATACATAGGAATTCTCTTTGTGTCTGTGAAACCACCAGTTGAAATAATGTTTCCTAGTGATAGATGATATTTTCATTTGGGATTTGTGTTGTAAAACGTTTGCAGGAAAATATGGTTGTGTAGGTGAACTTAGGAAAATATTCTCAGTATTTGCATCTTCACAGAAATCTGTGTGCAGGAAAATATATTAACAAAAAATTTCTGTGTTTTAAAATGTAAATATGCTGCTTTGATTTTGCTGTTGATGTAACATGTTATTCTAAATGCAGAAATCTGCAAAACCAAAACAAGGCTGATGTGGAGTAGATGAGTCTTATCATGTAGGTTGCAGTATACTGCTTAACCTGTATGAAACATCTTTAACAACTGGAAGATAAAGGCATAGTTCCTGAGAACTATTTAATGTGTCCTGTACATGGGCACTGTTGTATATATCATTTTAAGCCTGTTTAAAGTTTACAAGCATGATCTTTCCCTAGTGCTGCTTCAGTTCCTCACTGATTTGTCTGTGTTAAGCAAATTGAAGCTGGAAATGGGCAGAGGATAGAGGATTAAAAGAAAGAGAGAAGATAGCGTCCCAGCAAGTTACTTGAGTCCATCTCTTTCAGCTTTTCTCAGATGATGTCTCAATGGCTGAAAATGAATACTTCTATAATAAACCTCAAACTTTAAATGTTATACTAGAAAACCTAGCATTTCACTTTCCTAGATCTTAAATAACCTCAGTAGGCCAAGTAAACCTGATGAGATGACATACTGGTGATCTTGTAGTATACCACATTTAATAGGTTTGTAATAACTGATCATGTAGCAACTTGAAATGAATTCTTTGAAAAGTGTTTTTGTTATTTATGGTAGAAACAGTAGGCTCTGTTCTGAGAGTCATCTTGTGCTATAAAACTGAATGTATGTATGAAGACTTTCTAGCTTTCCAGATACGTAGCAGTTGTTTTAAAATTGAGGGAGAATGATTAAAAAAATACCTGTAAATTACTTGCCTTATTTTACTTTATTTCTTTTAAAGGCTTTTGTCTCACTATCCAATCCTTCACATTCTTTCACAAGTACCATGGCCATATAAGAGGTCTAGGAGAAGGTTGCATCTGACAGTTGGCTCTGTGTTTAGAACTGGGATTAAGCGAAACACAGGGGTTTCTTTTGCTACACTCCTAACTACAGTATACCTGTAGTAGTTGAAATGGAATTTTTCTTCCTCTCCAGTCCCATCACACTTAATGGCTTTTAGAATATACCAGCTATTGGGTAGATACTAGAAATGTTGGAACTTAACTTCAACCTTTCATCAAACTTCATTGTCACTTTGTATTGTTGGAAAGCAGAGGTTGGAATTTCTTACGTTCTTTCTTTCTGAATTGCATAGTGTATTCTGAAACTTCTCTAGAGATTACATAAAAATCTGAAATTCTTTTCATTAGACTCCTCCTGTTTCAAGCATTGTTTCCCTCAGACCTCCTCTGAGGAAGTAAAAACTTTCTTTAGTCATTCTATTCTGCATTTAATTTAGTATTCTTAAACATCTCTATCCCCTGGTAAGCCTATGTGAAGCACACTGTATTTGTCTCAAAACCCATTTGACAGCTCAGTTTAAGACAAGTGGGACTTGCCACTCAAATCCGACTCCAAGTTTTATCCATCCCTGGATTGGTGATTAGTATATCTTATTTCTGACAATGTTGAGAGGTCTGTGCTTCAGGAGAAGGAGCTGGAACAATTGCACTGAGCAGTTACGGGATAGCTTCCTTCAAGGGAAGCTTCCTTCTGAGGACTTGTCTGGAGATTGTTTTCAGAATCCATACTGAGGTATTACTGTCATCTCTTGTAGCTTATTAAAGCGTTCCTCTAACGTGTTCTGCAGCAAATGCCGTGATATGTGCTATCATATAACTGGACTAATAACAAACTGATTTCACTATTCAGGAGAAGTGTTAGGCCCTTGCTAGATCAGTCAAAGGCACCAGCAAGTGTTTTGGTCCAGTTGGAACTGATTTGACAGTTGGATATCTGGGAGTGAAGCTTTTGTAATGAACAGGTACTCTGTGCCTTTCAAAAGCACTTGTTTTCCATGTAAAGAACACTAATTTTTCTTTAGTTTTCTCATTGTACTGGGTCTGACTTTGAGTTAATTTTCTTCATAGCAGTGGTATGGTGCTGTATTCTTTGTGACCAAAGCAGTGTTGATAACACACTACTGTTTTAGCTCTTGTTGAACAGTGTTTGCACAGTGTCAAGGTCTTCTGTGTTTCTCACTCTGTCCCATGTCGGTATCCCCACAGTGATTGGAGGGTACACAAGATGTTGAGAGGGGACACAACCAAGCAGATGACCCGAACTAACCAGAGGGATATTCCATAACATATAGTGTCGTGCTCAGAGATAAAATGGAGAGGACAGAGGTTTAGAGAGGTTACCCAGCTTTTGTGTGGGAACTGACTGGGCATTGGTCTACCCGTGGGAGGTGATGAGTGCTTGGCTCGTTTTGTTTTGTTTCTCTCTTCTTCCACTTATCCCGTGTTTGTTAAACAATTTTTTTCTCTATCTACAAGTTTGCTTGCTTTTTACTTAGGCTTTTCTATCCACCTGTCCAATGGAGGGGGGGAATAAGTAGCGGTGTGGTGCTTAGCTGCCTACTGGACTTAGTCCCCAACACCCATGATGATCTCTTCATGCTTGTGCAAGGCAGAAAAGAGATCTCAACTTAGATGTCAATGCATGGATATCTGCTATAATATGTTTTTGGATTCTTTGGGGTAACACAAATATTTTGCTTTTATTTTCCATGTTGAAATTTTTAAGATATCATGAAAACTACTGTTACAAAAAATAGCAACAGAAAAAACAATAGCTGTAGTGTATTTTCACTAGTCTTTGTATATTCTGGAGTTAAATCTCAGTGTTTTGCCTTGACCAGAAAAGGTGTCTCATCTCCTATAATGTTCTCAGGCCCATTCTTCTCACTTAGCAAGTCTTAGTTTGCCACTCATCTGCTCCCCTTCTCAGTCCTCACGCTTCCTGCTATTCCCACCATGTTGGCCTCTCCAACATGCTTGCTTTCCGCTTAGCTGTTACTCATACCGTCTTCAAATCTCTTTTGCTTTTTGCTTCCTGGAGAGCATTATTGACAGAAAGACCCACACTATTCCTGCTAGACAGTGAAAATTGTGTCAGTCTATAGGCCAAGTAAAGGTAGAATTCCTAAGGCAAATCGCTAAAGTTTGCCTCTGAGTGTTATGGAAATATTTTTTTAGGGCTTCTGTGCTCAGTAAATAAAGGTGAATGGACTTTCTCAGGGACTGTAAAAAGTATGTTCTTGGCTGAAAGGCCAGTACCAGAAACATTTGAAGTTTGTATTCCAGGCAGGAGGATGGTAGGGCAGCTTAGTGACCACAGATTTTTCAGACAAATTTGAGGTTGGGACAGCATGTGATTATTTTTTTTTTTTTTTTTTTTTTTTTTTTTTAAATAATCTTGTTCTTGCAAATGGAAAAACTGTCTTGGTTAATTTTAAGTTATTTATTTTTCCAAAGTTGAATTGACACATGGAACCAGTGGGGGGGGGGGGGGGGAAATCAGCCAAAACAGTTGAGATTTTTATCTCCAGAAACTAAATTTTATAATAGAAAAAAAAGTTCAGTACTCTTAGTAGAGGTGTATAATAACTGATGGATTTTTCTTTGTCTTTGTGTTCCTTTTTAGGTGCTGGAAACAGCAGAAATTCATACTCCTGCAGCCATAGACAACTATATTATAGTACATACTGTATCGGAACTATTTTCTGAAAAAATTTGAAACTTACTATATATATTGTGTCATGTTTTTACCTAACCTGAGAATATTAAAAGTCTGAGCCATACTAGTTAGTGTACTTGTAAGATTAATGCTGGTGCACTTGTTCATTTCCATAGTTACTTGAGGGGCAGTAAAGAGGTAAAAAGAAAAAAAGTAAGTTCACTTCCCATTATGTGAATGGGGAATAGAAGGTTGAATAAAAGTTTGAATGGCAAACTGGGACTTGCTAAATGAAAAGGATGAACTTGAAACGAAGAATTATTTGGCACATGACATGGGAGAAAAGTTATGCCTGCAGTGCAAAATGTGGAAGTGAAATTAATTTGTGCAAAGCATCAGAAGACAAACAAAATACATTAAATAATAGAATACAAACTAGTGGTTGGAGAAAATACAGGACTGGGAAAAGAATCACTGCAACAGCAAGTGATTATGGTGTGCCTAATGTTCATCACACTCATGTTTGTAGTGTAGTGTGTTAGGGAAACAATAATAAAATACAGTTTGCACTGAATTAGTTCTGTGAATTGAAATGGCATCTTGACTCTGTGTTCAGAATTCCAATACAGTACACCTGAAACAGCACTTAGTCTTGGATAGTAAAATAAAAAAAAAACAGCAAAGGAACTTGGTGAGCGTTCAGATATAATGATATATAACTTATAACCAGGATTTCAGATTATATGTATTTAGCTTGTTTAATAACCACTATAGGAGTAGAACTATGATAGATTTTTAGTTTCCTCTCCTGTATATTTTTGTTACCAGCCAGTCTGCCTACTTTCAAGGTGTAAACAGGAGAGGAATAGAAAGACTGAATATAAAAATAAATTCCAAAACAGTGAAATCCATGGAAAACTAATGCAAGGAAAACGTTGAAGTCTGTCTTCTCTGGCAGGTAACCTTGAAATGTTTTGAACCTGCTCATTTCTCAACGTGTTAGTCAAATATAAAAGTTTGAAATAATAGCAGTCATAGCTTGTCTGTCATTTAGTATGAAACAATATACAGTGTGTTTCTTTCACTTTCAGATGAGCTCTCTTAACGTCAGAAATATTAAAAAGCCTCTTAGTCTTTTTTTCTGTGTGCCAGTTACTGATAATTTTTGTACCTTAGGTTGCCTTGTCAATACAGGTATCTACATGAAGTTGTAAACATATAAGAGTAAACCAGATGAACCGTTAAATGAAATGTGTGATACTTTTTTTTTTTTTTCCCCCAGATTTTCATGTCTTGTTTGTATATCTTCAGTTTTGCAATGTGACTGAAAATCTGGCACCCTGGATGCAATTGCTGCTGTGGAATAGATCTGATTCCTAGGAGTACACATACAGGACTATGCCTGCTAGTCATCAGTAACGGATGATTAAGGAAAGAATATGAAAAACAGGGAAAATGTAGACTGTTTTTTCTCTTCCTGGTACTTTGCTGCTGGTGTAGAACATGGTTTAGGTTTTCCTGAGAACAAGGTTGTAAAAAATAGGTCATTATGCTTAATAGAAGCTAATTGAATACAGTACCAAATGTTTGTTTAATCTTGAGTCCATTTGTGCTTTCAGCCTCCACAACATATTTCACAAGTTAGCAGTAACAAAGTTTCTAGAACAAGGAAAAAAAAAAAAATATTCTAAAATGAAATTTTCATCTATTAGATATACTTTCTAATTCTTGTGTTTGTGAGAGGTAGAATAGCCATCTCCTTTTCACATTTTGTGTATCTTTTACCAGTCTCTTAGGTCTTTGCATCCATTTGTCACTTTTCTTTTGTGCTCTCACTAAAGGCTAAACAGTTTTAGCCAATTGCATATGACAACTACCGATCATCCATATTGACTTTTGTGGTATCTCCTGTTACTCTTGAGAGAGCTTTTTTTTCCACTACGTTTCCAGTGAACTTCAGGCAGTTTTCAGAATTGTGGGTATATGGCAGAATAGTGCTATGACATGGTAATGTGTGTGTTTCCTATTCCATTCTTAATCATTCTTGAATACTAACTTCTCTGAATATTGCTTTTGAGCTAGGGAGTTTTTTTACTAGATGTGTAAAATGCAATGTCAGTCAATGTTATTCAGGTACATATTGGTCACTTATTTCAGTAATTTGATTTATAGCATTCCTGTGCAAGTCATGTTAATTCTCCCTAAGATATAGTTATCCCTGTGAAACTATCTGATAATCCAAGTGGTTTGTATGTCAAGTCTTACAGATCTTAGTTCTGCAGAACATTTGTGGTATCTTTGAAATGATTTTGAGGTGGTACAGGAAAATACTGCTCATTGACACCAGGGCTAGGGTGCATAACTGTCAGTCATCGTCAAGATGACATTACGGAGGAAAAAGTAGCAGAATTTAATTCAGAGACAGTAAAAAATTGAACTTTAAGTAAATATGAGTATGTAACTTTTTCCTATTCTACCTCCCCTTCTAGTGTATATTGAAAGAATAATAAAAGATCTACCAAATTTAGTTTGCATCATCTCTTCGGAAGGTTCATACTGCTAAGGGTAGCATTTTTACGTGTTCACAAGTTGATTACAGTGACAGCATTAACTTTATTTTGGATGGAAGAGGCTAGGGAAAGCTGGCATGTGATTTATGAATGTACTGCACTGAGCATCAGATGATCAGAGTTCACCCTGTGCATCTCCAGAATGACTCAGTGCTTTAGCTCTGCCTCTGAAGAATGGGGGTTTTGGTACTTTTTCCTGTGCTGTATATTCAGGATTTGATTAAAGAAAAAATGTGCTTTATTTCTTTAAGTAATTGCAACTGTTTTGTGTATAAAGCTCTTTTTAGGGAGCGATGTGTATGTGCAAAGGGAATGTATCTACTGTGCTCAAGAGTTCTGCATGAGTAGATATTGCCTTAGGAGAGTGTAAGGTTTTGTCTGGGAGGATTTTTTACGTTAATGCAGCCTCTGATGTACTAGTGTCCTCATCTTGGATTGGATCTGTTGGCCACAGTACAAACAAGCGTGGAGTGCATAATGCCTCTTTTGGTCCCAGATAGGCACCTCTTAATTTTTTTCATGGTGAATTAAAATGTGCAGAGGGATTGAAACAAAGACTGTAGTTCTACTCAAAATCAGGCAACTAATCTATAGGGATGTTGTTTGTCTGTGGAATATTGCTTAAAGGTAATCTGTTGTCTAGTCAGTGAGTCACAGGCAGGTGAACCCTCTGCCAGATATAATGATCCTACGTCTTCAGGGGAGAAGAGTAACTACATACATAGTACTGGGGTGGTGGGATACGCACACCTACTCACACTGTTATCCAGGGAAAAATCAGAGGCACAAGACGTGCTTGGGAGATGAAGCTAGACAGATCGTGAAAAGATAAGAAGCAGAAAGGCTTCGGGATATAACTTTCCTGCTGCCAAACTGCAAAGCTGTTTGGGTTTTCTGCTTACCTTTCTGCATTACAAATATGACAATGCAGTGATACGTACCTCAGAGAAAAATACAAATGAAGTACATGTGCAATAGAGCTCAAAATTTAAAATATATAAAAACAAATCTTGCAGCAAGAATTTTAGTTTCGTTGTTTCCTTTAAAGCTAAAATAAAAGCCAAAACAGTGAACAGTGTACTAACAACAACCAAGTAAAACATGAAACTCCTGTCTGGTCAGAAAAATAAATTTTAACTTCATTGTTTAAACTGAAAAAAATAATTTAATTTCCTCTTGTTTATTCAATTCCTCTACATAGAGTGGACTACCTGTACTTTAGAAGACTAATTTCTCAAGTCTTGAAAAATAACTTCAAAATTTGCTGAATGTTCTTATCACTGTCTTTTCAGCAGAGTACTACTTTGCTCAACTGTAGAAATGTCAATAGCTATGTATTTTAACTTTGTACATTTCTAGAATTATTCAAATAAAATTGAAATGCAGCAAATCATTCCACCACCAGTTGCTGTAGAGTTCAGGACAGATCCACTGCACCAACAAGAGAATTTCTTGTCACATAATTTAATGATCAAATTGTTCTTGTCCTTCCAACACTGTTGTAGGGCAGTATTAGGAGAGGGTTTTTTCACTGTCCAGGAAGCATACAGGGAAAGAGATGTCCACTTATCAAAGAGTTTGGCAAGTCACAGAGATATTTATGAGCACTGGCAACAGCAGTGCAGTCTTTTATGCCTCAATTTATTTTTAGATAGAAAGGTGTTAAGCAAAGCCTGCTTTTTTTTTATTTACCTTCCTTCTTTGTCCTTATTTTTGTTTGTGGTTATACTTCTTACCAGCTTAAGCAGATGTACCTTGCAGATGTACACTGCTGGGTACAGCCTTCCTTTTTTCACATTTTTTACCTGAGCATTTTGGTTTAATCTGAGGATATTTTTGTTAATGAAAATGTTTGTCCTGTGTAAATTCAATGTCTTATGTAAATAAAGAATTTTGTGGAAAGTCTTAACTTAGTGTAAAGAGTGTACTCAAAAACAGTGTTAAAGCACTGAAATAAATACAGCTGTCTCAAAACACTTCATGGATAAAAAACTTGTAAGTGTGTAGCAGGATATTTCTGGATCATGCTTGGCTACCTTCCATAAGATTTTTTCATATAGTTCTGTGCTGGCACGTATGAAATATGTTGTCATCCTTTTTGTAAGAGGTAATTAAGGAATAATAGATTTCGGAAAAATTGTCCTGATTGGAAGCATTTAATGTGATTTGTTGACTCAGAGAAGTCTGTTCTTTTCTGTATGTTGATAATAACTGCTTTTCGTTGGCCCTTCTGGTCAATACTATGGCAAAGATCTCCTGGTTTTTTACACACTTGTGAGATCTGAACTTTTCAAAAGCGACTTGGAGAGAAAGTAAATGTGACTTTAGTAAATACAGTTATCTAGTGTTCCAAATAAAAAAACCCCTCTGCTGTTGTGGGAAAAACTGTTGCAAGGAGGTGGTTGATATTTTAATAATGATCTATCTGGGAAATTACAAAGAAGAGACACCAAATTCCAATACATTTTCAAAAACTGTAAAATTGGGATACTATTTCACTGTAAAATTATGACTAAAGATTTTTGTTTTAAATTAACAACTTCTTCTTTTTTCAGGAAATTTGGAGAGCGACCTCAACCAAAACGGCTTACCAGGTAAGCATTAAAGAAATTCTGTTTTTAAGAGTTGTCTAAAGTTGCCCTTTTCATTCTCAGACAGATTTCCAAGTTAAAAAATTGTGACTTGCTAATCTTAGAATTTTAAATATCAAAGCTTTTCAATTATTGTATGTGGTCAGCAGCCAGAAGTAAAATTTTGAACAGTTGAGTGTCTTGTTTTTAATATGATACTCAAAATGCCTTTTTAGAAATGGTGTTGACTTCACCTATCAGTTACTGTAGGTAATTCGGTAGGATGTAAATTGCTTAGTTTTAAATCACCGTGAATGAGTCAGATTTCTTGGGTAAAAGTGTCTTGTGAGGTCATGTAAAGTAACAATTCTTACTGCCAAAATTCAGCTACTGTCATGCAGTAGGTAAGATCAAAATGAACACAGTGTGGTAAAGCTGTGATCTTCACCAATTTTTGATGAAACTGAAAGAGTCAGAGATAGTATCAAATAGTACCATCAAGTCAATCCATTCTGAAAAGTGTTTAGCGTGACAGGAGTACCATGCTTGATTTGCTCCTGGTCTGCCTGGGAAGCATTTATACGAGAAGCTGTTAAGTAGTCACCATTTTTTCAAACTGTTGTAGCACAGTCTGTGCAAATATTTATTACTCTGACATGAACTGTGCTGATTATAAGTAACTGCTGAGTTTAAAAACCACTGTTTGCACATCATTCGTACTTCAAGCAATTTTTTAATAATTTTGTGTAGTAATAGTACTGTATAAAGACATGGAAACCCATTGTCACTCTGGCCTACTTATGTTTTGAATGAAATTATGATGCCTTATGGCATTAAGGTGGGAGGGAGCATTTACATTTTGTGTTGGGGATATCTGTCTCATTGCATTTCTGGATAAGCTTCAGATTACCTCGTGTCGTTGTGAAACTTCATTTCAATGCAAAATTGATCTATACTGACTTATACGTAATTGAACAACCATTGCTGTTTCCTGTTGGCCTACCTGTTTTCAGGGATATTTAAAGATACTGAGTTTTAAGTAATGAACTGTTTTCCATCTTGAACAGTAACACCTGTTAGTATCGCCCTGAAGTTAATGATAGAATTTATCTTCTTTGCTTTGAAAAGAACAACAAAAATAATGACTATTCAGTGTAAGGTCTTTTAACAAAGTTTTCTAGTAACTGTAGTGACTCTAAATTTCATGTGCTGATAGATATACCAGATACTATTTCATGTGCGTCCAGGGTAGGCATCTCGGAACTGCTAGTGACACTTCAAAGCAGTAGCTTGTAAACCTTTTCTATACTGATAGAGGCTGGAAACAAGCAGCCTAACTTTTTTCATCTGAAGAGAGAAATGCTGAAACGGAAAATTTGTTACACAAATTTGTAAGAGTATGGTTTGTTTATTTAATGCTAAAAAAAAAAAAAAAAAAATCTATCTGTAAATCCTTAAAGGCATTTAGTTCAATTGTTGGAAAAGTATTCTGTTTTTTTTTTTTTTTTTTTTTTTTGTGTAAAGGCAGTCCTGTTTGTCTAATAACCTATTGATCATTGTCCAAGCTCTAGCAGAACACCACTACTTCTTTCATACTGTGCTAGTTGTTTATAGATATAAACTATAATAGTACTACCTTCGTGGCAAGTTTTAAGATGTAATAATGAAAAACATCGTGTAAGAATTGCAATGGTTATGTGTTTTCTTTATCACTGGGAGGGGTTGGAGGGGAACATTCCTAGTTCTAGGAGCTTGGATTGTACAAGCCCGCTGTATCAATAGACCAACAGAAAAGGCAAAATTTCTTCCTCATACAGTGCTAAATGAACATTAGATAGCACCTAGTGTTTTTGTGCATGGGTTGCTGGTTTTGAGAGTTTTTTTTAATGGTAGTCAAGTTAAAAGTTTTTAGTATGACAGATGTTTTTAATTTAGTACCCCATTACTCTTTATAGAGTATTTCAAATTGTCAGATAAAGGTTTTTAAACCACTTAAATGCAGCTAATATATATCATAATGAAATGTATAATAATAATTTCACAGTGAATTATGTTTTGTGGTTTAAAATATATTCTTGAACAATGGTTGTAAATAAAGTAAGTCTGTGTGCTTTGAGACAGTTCTTCCATCTGTGTTTTCATGGGTAAACATCAGTTTTACCACTGTCAAATGTAAACAGATCAAGTTAGTCCAAATTTAAAACAGTAATTCAAGTCTTTGCTCTTATATCCTGGTGTTTACACAGGAAGTCTAGCACACTGATCACTGTATTATGCAGGCATGATAAATTCAAGAATTACAAAACATCATTAGCAAAGCTCAATTGTTGTCCAACCTGTGCCTTCTCCCCTTGCCTTCCCCCCTTGTTACCACCTCCATCACCCCCACCCCCCATCTGCTTGCTTTCCTCTGTGAAACTATATGTGGGGATTTCTGTTGGAAGAGGGCTTGTCAACAGAATATGGCTTTTTATCTTCCATCTTTTTTCACCGGAGATGTTCGGTTCTCTAGATCTGTCCAAAGGAAGTAGAATGGTTGGATGCAGTTCACACACACACACAAAAAACCACACACACACACTCATAAAAACAACACCGAAACCCAAAAATCCCTTTTCTGTAGGGTTTCATCTCTTCATGTAACTTCTTGTTAAATTCAGAATTTGTTTCTCTCATTGACTACTTTGAAGAGGAGTGCATTGGTGGGCATTCAACCTGCAAAAGTTCCTCCAGGGACTAGAAAAGTGTTCCTGTCAGCACTCCGACACAGCTAAACCCTAGGGTGTTGAATTTGGCATGCTGCTTAATGAACAGTTAGATTATTATACAGAAGAATGATAGGGTGTATTGTTCTCTTACATCTCTCAAGAAATTGCTGTTGGTGCGTTTGAGGTAATTATAGCTTTTGTATGACGTTTGTCATTACAGTGATGATGAACGATAGAAAATCGAATTTATTTATTTTGTTTACCTGATTGTATGCAGGAAGTAGAGGCTTTCTCCAGAAAATTAAATGAAACAAGCTGAAAAATTTAACCATTTCTTAGCATCTTCACAACCAAAAGAAAACTTTTATATAAACATTGCATTGATTTAGTTAATAGCTTAAATAAAATTTCAGAACAATTTGTCATTATCATGACAGACTAAATTGGTTAAGGAGACAATATTGAATTAATAAAGTGTGTTTTAATCAAATATTTGTGTCATGGTACTTTGTAAAATCAAGCTTTGAATGTGGTATATAGTGATGGGAATTGATACAATTTTAGATCACAGGCATGGTTTTTTTGGGGGGAGAATGTAGAAATTGTAAATGACCACAGACCCCTACTGCTAGCTTTATGCAAGATGGTTGCTTCTTTTTGCTGTGTAATTGTCTTAACAAACAAAACAAGCTCATATTGACCCTATTAATGGTTGCCTTTTTTGAATTTCAGGCGTTTGGGGTTTTTTTTGTCCTAAAGCTGTCTTTGGATTATTATAATTTTAAACAAAACCAAAAGAATTTTCAAAGCTTATTTTGTCTTTTGATTTTTTTTTTTTTTTTAGGGAAGCAATGCGAAATTACCTAAAGGAGCGAGGTGATCAAACAGTGCTAATACTCCATGCGAAAGTTGCGCAGAAATCATACGGAAATGAAAAAAGGTGAGTCTCTATTCTTTCCTAACTTCCTCTACAGCTCCCAACCAGGGAAACTGTAGCGTGTAGTCTGGTGCGTAGTACATTACAGAGTTTGTCAAATTGTGCCATAGTCTGAAGAAACGTAAAACAACATGTCTTCTCCTAAATCATTTAATTATGTAACAAATGCTGCAAACCTGTGGCATTCAATGTAGTGATGCCTGTTTCTATCAACAGATTCTCTTATCTGTGGTTGAAGTTTTTCTTCCATTGAACTATAACGGCTCTAATTTTAAGCCTTCCATTTTAAGTCTGGAGTAAACAAGCTGATTTACAGTAACTATTTGTAGAGGAGCTTTTTTCCTGAGTAGTTTCAAATTAGTATGAAAGGGAAATTGCTAGCCTCAGTAAGATACTTTTCTGAATCATATCTGTAATAGCTTTAAAAAGAATGACAGGTCAATCATAACCATATTTATGATAAACATTCTCTTGTAAAAATCAATACAGTATAAGTTACAATAATAGGTGGTTTTCTAAGGGACAGGATCTAAAGGAAGACATGAGGATGAATGCTTTTTAGGCAAAGGTGAATTTCCTGCAGTCTTCTCTGTGATGTTTTTATTGCATGACTAGTAGAAAAAAATTATATGGTCCTTCATATGCAGATTTCTAGTCCTCTCATGATGAAATAGAATTTTCTTTAGATATAAATGGTTAAATTACCTTAAACTACACAAAATTAAGTAGCATAGTATTTGGTTAGTTTTCAGATCCTTTGTATTATTAATATTGGTTTACCACAAAAGACTTACATATTCAGCACATTAATGGTTTTGAAGCTTTAACTTTTCTTTTGTCACTGTTGTGTAAGTCCTGTTGCATCATTATGTTTTTTACAGTTTTCTGAGATTTGTGATTTTAACATATTTATGTATGAAAGTGTTAGAGAACAGAAATGTTAGAATTAAGCCTGTGAAGTTCTCAGTTTGTTGTTACCAATCTGAATCACCGATGTCTGTGAATCACAGAGATGCAGACTATTTTCAACTGTTCTTCAGTATTCTGTGCCTGAGTACTTGTCTTTCAATATGTGTCGTCTTTTCTGTTAGCCAGTGTCTCAAGTCCTTTCTTTTGGGCAGTGTCCAGGTTCTGCAGCTCCATGGAATTGTTTACTCAAAGTGCTTTTTAGATGTTTCTGAAATTCTTGATGAGAATCAAATTGTGAAGTCAGTGACAGAAGAAGGAGGAAGGACACAGAAGCAGGCAAATATGCTGTATATCTGCTACGTAACTATACAGCCCTCTTGTTCACTGCCATGCTTAAATGCAAAAGGGTTACAATGCAGGGCCTTACTTGTTGTAAATTGTAACTTTAACCCTTTGCAGCAAACAGCCAGAAAGATTTATCATGACAATATAGGGACCTCTTATCTTCTCAGATTGGATTGTTATTCAAGAGTTGCATAGTTAACTCATCACTGCAAAGGAGTTAAGCATATTTCTCCCCAAAAATGAGGGGGTGCCTGCAGATAAGACAGTGACTTTCTAAACAGCGTAACTGTAATTTCAGTCACTTTGTTCTCCCAGGGCCAGAGCAGTTCATGAGGGCAGGAACATTTTGCAAAACTGTCCTGTGTATCCTTATTTTGGAGAGCAAATTGCATCAGAAGAAGGGAGAAAATAAAAAGATGAAGTATGTAATTTTGATTATTAAGAGTTCCATTACTGTTTGGAAAACTTACATAAATATTCTGAAGAATAGAGGGCAAAGCTTCAAATTGTTATTTGCTAACAGTTTCTGAAAGCTTTTATGCATTTCATAGCATTGCCATAAATTCCTGTTGCTTTGAATAGACATGATGCTGTTAAAAGTCACAGTGGCACATATATTACCTAAGTACTGGTAATGTTCGGTAAACTAGTCATTGGTTTCTCACTGCTTGAAACAGTTGCTAACTGGAATTAGACATTCTTTTACCACTGCAGGTTTTGTGAGGTGCAGTTCAGTTGCCTGTCTCGGCACAACTGCATTTGTTCATAAAAAGTGTCTCAAATTTACCTCTTTAAAAATGAAAGCATGTCAAATGAGTGTAGAGAATTGCAGAGTTTTGCAAAAGATGACAAGAAATGAAAATGTTTGGATGTTTATGGCAAAATAATATTATGGTGAAATAACTGCAATTCAGGTATGGGTATGAAATGAAAGTTTGGATCACATACTAAGATTTCATTTTTCAGTTTAAAAATTTTAGTTTTTCTTATGTTTTAACACACCATTTAGACTGTCTCTGGTACTGTTGTCCTAGTTCCCAGACTGTTAGCATCAGTAATGATGTCCTGTTGTTATCAGCATAAAGAAAAATGTCAGCTATTAAATCCTTGGATCCATGTGTGCCCTAAGGTACTTAATGAAACTGAATGATGAATTAGCTTCTTTCTTTCTTTCTTTTAGTTTTTTTAATTGCTTCTGTTTTTTTCATAGCAGAATATGCCTTTTGATTCTTCATGCTGCTGGACTGAGCAAAATTAGTAAAGGTTTAAGGCTGCTTTATGCAACTGATAATCAAGTTTTCACCATTCTCACATTAAATACCATTTCTGAAATTACTTGTTTTGCATACATCTGCTTTGCTTTGTGGACAGAAACTTATTTCATGCTTGTTTTTATGGAGAAATTTCATGTTTTCCATGGGACTTCATTATGGCATGGATATAACCTGGTTAATTTTTGATCCATAATGAATAAGTTAAATTGCACTATCTCTGTAACTAAGAATTCATGTTGCAAAAGGAATTATTTCTTAAATTTTACATGTTTTTCAAGTAGAACCTAAAAAAACCCTAAACAAACTTCCACCTTTTGTTCCATCTTTAAACCAAGTTTGTTGTGACATCATGGAAATCATTATTAATAAACTTTGCATGGCATAATTAAAAGGTTAGCACAAGAACTACCTTTCAGTGTTTTGATGAGGCTTAGTAGATGGTGAAATACTCTGTTGAGAACTTGCTGTAGACGATGAGATCTCACGTAGTATGGGCTGGTTTAAATAGGCTTCACAGAAACACAATTCCAGGTGGTTGTCCTGTGGATGGAGACTTTCTGGGTTAATTTAAGAGCGTTCCTGATACTTGTCTGTAAATATCAGTAATGAAAGGATGTTTCTTTCTTGTTTGAGTGGATTCTTCTTATTAGCCTTGCTCTTCCCAAAGTTAGTGTTCTTTAGTTTAACAAAGAAGCCAGGAGGTAAGAAGCTCAGTGGATGGACTTTAGTTGAATTTAAGACTTTTTGCTTAGTGTTTCCTGTTGGGTGGCTGTCATCTTTCAAAGGCATTCAGCTGATAGAGACTCAAGTCATTTTAGTCCCGATGAATATGGGTGTTCTGCTTGTGCTTCTTGTGCTTTTTCCATATTTACTGTTCACTGAGATCTGAACAGTGTGAACATTCAACAGTTTAAAGGACTAAAGTATTTTGGATTCCAAGACATAGTTCATGAGAGACTCAGACAGACTGGTATTTGTGAATTACATGCTGTTCCTAGTTTAAACATTATCAATACTGATTAGCCTGAGAACGGTCTAGCTGTGTCTTGGTTTATGGCTGTTAGTGAAGGAGCTCCTGTAATTTCTGCTCAAATACTTCCCTTGACTGAACTGAGTGTGCCTGCCCTCTGGTTAACACTGTTGTTATTGAGAGCATAACTGTTTCCAGGGCTTACCCCATGGCTCCACTGCTTCATCCTTAGCACTCTAACACCTAATGATTTTGCATTTGTTTGTTGTTGTATTGAATTCTTTAGTGGATGTTATTAGTTCTTCCAGTTCCTAAGAAGGAAAGGAGACTGCTGTGTAGTTTCCTGCTCAGAACAGTATGGATAGTTGACAAACACCTCCTGCCTTGACCTACTGGGAACTGACCAACGGGTGCAAAGGAAGAACTTACTGCTAATGTCACCCTGAACATAAAACTATCTGGTTAGACACCTCTAAATCCTTCTGAAGGCAAAGACTTCTGTAAGATGAACACAGGTATTACTTGGATGATTGGAAAAAGCAAATCTTTGTGGACAGAAGCCTATGGTTTGGAAAGAGCATTGAGTACATCAAAACTAGGTAGCAATGACATGAGCTGATTTTATTTTCTACCCCATGCTTCCTGGCAAGTTTAGGTAGGGTAGCTTCTTTACTTGAACTATGTATTTTTCTACATATTGATTGGCCGGAATTGACTGAAGGAATATTGTTCTCTCCTTTGGTGATTATCTGATTTAAAACAATATTCCAGGTGGTTCCAGAGAGTCAACCTATTACACTTTCTGCCGCAGTCAAGACTCAGAAACCACTAGAAATTATCTTGTTCTTCCCTTCATTTGGAATAAAGGAGAGCATCCGTAGACAAATCTCAGCTTGGTTTTCTTGCCGTGGAAGAATGTTCAGTTTCCAGGTGGTCAGATGGAACAGTTCTGTCAGAACAGATGAGTAACAGCTTGCTTCTGTTTGCTATACTGGGTTATTGAGCCTGGAGTCTAACAGGAGGTTGGTAATACTGTGGTCTTTCCCCACTTGAGTGGCCCATGAAATTCTAGTGTAAGAAGGCACTATGGGGACGCCCTTTGCTTTTTGGAGATTGATCATCTGACCTTTCCTGGCTACTATCAGTTTCAATGTTCATTTAAAACTGCCCATCGTTTTAATTACACTGATCACAAATTCATGGAAGGAGGACCATCACAGAGAGCTGGTTCTGGGAAACTATGAGTTCAGAACAAAATGTTGTAGAGATATGTCAGATACATGAAGAGATGTGGTATCCCAAAATGTTACACTGTGCTTTATATCAGCAAGTAGGAAATGCTGGATCTGCATCTTGTCGTGCAACTATAAGTGTGGAATAGGTTTTGTTCAGGAAAGACATTCCTGGTTGGTATACTTCCAGTAATGAAAGAGCTCACAGGGTTGATCCCTGACAGATTTCATGTGGTTTTTAGGTCAAGTTGTTAGGTGTGCACTCCATGGAAGAATGTAATGAGTTGTTTTACTGCTCTTTCAGCAGGGAATTGTCAGTCTGCTCAGGGCATGGAGAAGAGGTATTAAGAGAATATGTTGTAAATCCAGTGAAGAAATTGCATCCTACATGATTTTCCACCATTACTTTTTGTACTGAAAATTCTGAACAGTCTCAGAAGAACCAGACACAGCTGCCTTTCCAACACAGTTTTCCTTTTCCTATAGGTCAGATTAATGCTTCAGAATAATTTTTTACTTCTTACTCTGTTTTACTTTAATTTTGTGGTTAAAGAAAGAAGAGAGGTAGGGCCCTGTAAATTAAAGGTTGAAGAAAGAATATTTTCGTTTGTTCCACCAAAGGTTGTCCTACCTTATTTCCCATCAGTAATACCAGAAATCACTTTACCTAAATTACTTATTCTGGGGAGGTGATTTTTGTTTTTTCTCTTTTCTTCATAGTTATCTGAAAGCCAGCCTTTCACACATTTTCATTTACATTCCTATAGACATCTGAAATGTTATATTAATGAGAAACCTGTTTCCAGCAGTTATTTTATATATATGAAAGACACTTTCATTAATCCTCTGTGAAAATTAGAAATATCAAGATACTCATGGTTTACTCACACGATATTGGATATAAAATTTATAGTTGATCTCGTCTGTACATGAGTTCATGGGATTGTAAATACGAAGTAAAAAGTCCCGAGACTGTACTTGTCTGTATCTGAAGGGTAAGAGGCTGGTACATGAGAAAACCCATTCAAATCGTGAATGTCCAGACTCTTTCTTCTTGTTTGGTAGTTTTAACCAAACTTAAAATTGTCTCAGCTTCAAAAGTTTCTTTGTTCAGTAAGTCATAGTTTTCCAAGGTTTTTGTCTGTGTTCTAATATAAAAAGATCACTTAATTGTTGTGGCTTGTTTTCTCTTCAACAATGGGTTAAAACTTGTTTCTTATAGGTCTTCGTTGCCATCTAGTGGCCATAATTATTCAAAGGACTTGGTTTAGAATAAAGCTGAAATTAAAAAGGATATCAAAAAAGTTTGGGATTTTTTTTCTTGTGGTCTAACCAGTAAGATAAATACAAAAGAGTGTACATGAAGAAGAAAGGTAAATGTGTGATGTTTGCTTTATGGTGTTTTACCTACTTGGAATACAAGGGGTTTGTGGGTTTTTTTTTGCAAAGCGTTACTCTGTTAACAAAGATTGATATTCATTTTTAGTCTGTGTATAATTTATTTATTGGAACTAGCTTTTAATGGTTGAGAAGAAAATTAGTGGGATGCATCCATTAACACTGACAGGATCTTATATTGTGTTTCAAGTTTGAAAGTTCAGAAGCTGACTAGATATGCAGTGTGCTTTTTCTGGCAATCTGAGTTTGTTTTCAAAAGATCAGCTCTTGAATGAAGGTTTTTTCCCCAAAAAGTTATAGTTCCTAACCTTGGAGTTAGTTTATAACCCTCACTTGAAAAGTATTGTTCACAGAGGACCACCACCATGTTTCTCCTGCCTGGGATGGCAAAGTAGAGTAGGCCTCCTGTACAGTACTTGGGCGTGATCGTTGCCCTCACTTGACCCCTTGCCAGTTTAATAAAGATGTGACTCTCTCTTATCCTCTTGCTTCCTTCCCACCCACAGATAAGTATCTGTTTATATCTATATGGTTTTTTTAAATGTGATCACAGTTGTCTACAGTAGAAGCTTTCTCGGTATAATGCTAAATCTGTTATTTCTTACTTTATTTTGGTTTTCTGTTTTCCTAAAACCCGCTGAAAGTTGCAGCAACTGGTAGATGAGCTCAGAATAGATTTTTAACGACAATTATGTTATTTGTATCTAGATGTGGGGTGATATAGGACATATATATTTGTTTTCTACATGACCAATCTAATTTACACCTTGTACCTTAATATGAATTTTATGATCTTGACCACTGTCATTGCACTGTCTCCCTCACAAACATTAAGTCCTCTAAGATCATTTTTCCTTTAGGGAAGAGAAGCATTTGAGAGGGAAATTAGGTCACATCATATGTGCTGTTTGGAATAAATGCACTACTTTTCAGTAGGAAATGTGTTCCTGGTTTTGAGACCAAAACTTTGTAGTAGGAAGAGTAGGATTTCATTGGCATGTAACAGAAACTCACGTTGTTCTTAAATATACCCCTACTGCATCACTCAGCATCTTCATGAAGAAAGCTGGAACAGAGGTCGGGTGGCAGAAGATAAGAAGCAAAAGACATAATAGCTATCAAAAAGGGGATACATAGTGTGTGCTGTTTGATAACGTTTATTACTGCTTACTCTTCCTGTTCATGTTGATTTCAAATTTCAGAGCTTCTATTCTTACAGCAGTAAAGTTACAATAGCCTATTCTGATGTCAGATAACTATAAATTTCAGCTTTATGATTCATGGCTGGGCTAGTGGAAGTGTTCTCTTGTGCTGCTACTGTGGAAGTGTTAAATTTTATTTTTGAGGTATTTTATTGTGTGGTTTCTGAAGCTGACAGTTCCGTCAGGAAACATCATGAATCTTGTCTTTGTAAGGGTAGAAAGCATTTCCATTTTATAGAGATGCAGACTGTTACCTATCATATATCAAACTGGAAATATACTCAGAGACGGTGCAGCTAATGCTGATTTTCCTTTTTCTCTTTTTTTGATTTGCATTTTAGAAAATCTTGAAGGCAAATGAAGGGTGTGCATGTATAAACTGAAATGCAGAGTGTGAATGAGCTGAGAAAGCTTTGGGTACACAAGTTTCTGTCTCAAGAATTCTGTTGAAATCTGTATGCAATCTCATAATGCATTTTTCATTTTCAGGTTCTTTTGCCCTCCTCCATGTGTGTATCTTATGGGCAGTGGATGGAAGAAAAAAAAAGAGCAAATGGAACGGGATGGTTGCACTGAGCAAGAGTCACAACCTTGCGCCTTCATTGGAATAGGAAACAGCGACCAAGAAATGCAGCAGCTCAACTTGGAAGGAAAGGTAGAAGAATTGTAATAAACCGCTCAGATGAGTGCAAAGGCTATTATAGCTACATGGTGCATATTTCAGTGAATACCTTTGCTTATTTTTGATAGCTTTTGTTACACTGTAGCAGATATTACTTAAGTGGTTTTAAAAAAATCCCTCAAAAGTATGTAGGACAATTGAATAGGTGGATTTGGTTCATGTGATCATAGCAGGGTACTAACCTTTCATTTGCAGGTTGCTGATTCAGGTTCAGAAGACTGTTAGGTTATTTGATAGGCACCAGTGGTTAACTGAAGTAAGGTTTCTGGCCCAAACTCCTGTGTCCCTCGCCCTAGCTTGCATGAATGCATAATCTCTTCAAGGAAGTATCTGAACAACATTTGCTACTAGAAGTGGTCTTTTAGTCCCTTTGCATAAAAATACATTTAAAATAACATCTTAATAAAATTAGGAGATTATTTTTTTGCAATTATATAAATTGCTAGGAGATTTTTTTTTTAGAGATATTTGTGATGACTTAGTTGGAATAGAACTGGCAGCATGTGAGTGCTCATTTTAGCTGGTTGTTTTATTAAGTAGTATTTGATAGCTACCTGGTATTTCCAGCACAGTCTACTTAAAAATGGTTCATATGTTGTTGAACAGGAAAAGAATGACAAAAGTTCTTTTTGAGTTTTTTTTTCTTTAAGCTCCTGTTGTCATCTAGTGTAAACACATAGCCAAAAGTAACTATCTGGTGTTTCAAAACTCAGTCATCTCCCATTCTTTCAAGAAGAGTTTGACTCAGCACATTTTCTGCACAGGCAGCCTCTTGTGCATGCCTAGTGTAAGGCCTGTGTAGCTCTACTCAAATGTTACTTTTAGTAGCGTAGTGCTCTTAACCATTCAGAGATGGTTTTGACAGAGCTACAGTCTCCAATCATCTGTTTTCCAGTCCTGGTAAGGGTCTTCAGAAGGATGCTCAAGTACTGAAGTTGGGTGCTAAACTTCACAAAGCTAAACAGTAGTCATAGAAGAGATCCATATGGAAGAGATGGAAAAAGCAGTTTTCTGATCTGTTTTAGAAACTTACATCAGTTTTCCTATTTCGTTCATAATTAAATATGCATAGTTTCTTGAACTGTGACTTGAAAGAAGAAACAACAGTATGTTTTCACCTACAGAATTATTGCACTGCCAAAACATTATACATATCAGACTCAGACAAGAGAAAGCACTTCATGTTATCAGTAAAAATGTTCTATGGCAATAGTGACGACATCGGTGTGTTCCTCAGTAAACGGATCAAAGTCATCTCCAAACCTTCTAAAAAGAAACAGTCACTGAAAAATGCAGACTGTAAGTATTTGAGAGTTCTTTCCTCTATGTAGCAATTCATTTTGCCTCCTGCTAATTTTTTCTTATGTATCCTGAGTTCTGACTACAAAGTAAATGCAATAAAATTTTCAATTTCTGTTTTTTCCTAATATATTTCAGAACTGTACATGTCAGTGTATTATGAAATATTCCAATATAGATAGGTTACATTCTTGAGTTTTATGCAGTCAGTTAATTATTTAGTAAATGTAAATGGTCCACCAAAAAAATTTTATTTGGAGGAGCGAGTCCCTGTAGACAAATGCATAAAGAATGTTCTGCCTCAGCTTTCGAAGCTGTTGGATCTCTTGAGTTGCCATGATCTGGTGCCTAGGATGTTTTGGTCAGTATCAAAGAGATAGCTTTCAGATTGTGATAAATGCATAGCATCATGTTATCCCAACTGCACTTGTCACATCACAGCCACCTCCCTACTGTCTCATGCCATTTTCATGTTTTTATTTTTATTATGTTTTGCATGGTTCCTTTTAAGTAATTAGTTAAGAAATCTGTCTGGTGATAATTCACCCAGATTTCTTTGCTTACCAGTGTTTTTCAACTAAAGATATCTCTGGTGCTAATGTATAATTGGGAGCATTTTTGCTTTTCCTCCAAAGTTTTTGTCTGCATACCACTGGAGCACCTCAAGAGATACCCTTTTTTTTGTTTGTTTTTTCTCTCTCTCTTCACTAGTGCTTTAAAAGGCTCTTCCATCTGTGTTGGGCTGGAACCCATTCACCTATGGAATGTGGATCTCGGGGCCGCTAGCTTGCCACATGACTAAAGGCAATCTGTTGCTGTGCAGTTCACGCCCGTGGGCTCAGAGTATGCACTGTTGACTTTGTATTCAGACAGATAGTTTTTGATGGACAGTGAATATGAACCAAGCATTCTTCGATAGTAAATATGAACCAAGTAGAAGAAACATGCCTGTTTTGATGGCAAAATGCTAGTTGGTGATTTTTTTTTTAGGAGAGCAGACTTAGCATTTCTCTCTCTTGAATTATGAGTAAGTTCAGATCTGAGGAAATTTCAAGTTGCATGGTTACAATTTTACATAGTTATGTCTGTCTTCCTTTCAGTTGATTGTGATTTGTAAGAATAATTTTTCTTGATACTTCAAATGATCACTGAAAGTTCTCTAAGTACTTCACAATGGCAAGCTAAAGCTTCTGCTCAAATAATCAGTTGTTGGAGAACTATGAACAGTTTTCAGCTGGCAAGCACTGGCCTGCTTGGCCAAGTGGCAAAATTCTGTGAACTAGCATGACTTTGGTAAACAGCATCCCACTTGTAATTTTGTGATTATTTTTCGTCTGTCACAAATATAAATATTTTCCAAATTAACAAATAGTTGAGAATTATTTATTGATTTCTAGTATTCATCAGTTTATTTTACTGTATTTATGACTTCTTGTTATTTTTCTGTGTAGTACCGAAGTAATTTTATAATATCAAGTCTGTATGTGTTCCTTGCAGTATGTATTGCGTCAGGGACAAAAGTGGCACTATTTAATAGACTTCGATCCCAAACAGTTAGCACCAGATATTTGCACGTAGAAGGTGGTAATTTCCATGCCAGTTCACAACAGTGGGGAGCATTTTACATTCACCTCTGTAAGTAAAAATGAAGCAATCTATTTTTTTCACCTCCCTCCCTCTACCCCACAAAAAATAGTCCTGAATTTTTTCCTCCATATTAATTGCCCATATGCAGATTTGGGTTGCTACTGAGTGTATATTTGATGTAACAGTGTGATGTTAAATGTCCCTGCTATCGAGGAAAACAGTGATTAAAACAAATAATGTGAACATTTCTGTTTCATGCAGTGGATGATGATGAATCGGAAGGAGAAGAATTCACAGTGAGGGATGGCTACATTCATTATGGGCAGACGGTCAAACTTGTATGCTCAGTTACTGGCATGGCACTCCCAAGACTGGTACAGTTTAATTTCTCCAATGCTGTAATTTGTAGATGGCTACTTAGTGTAATCACAGAGTTGAGTTTGCATTGTTTACCATTTTTGGCTTTGTATGTTTCCTTTTGGGAATACATGTTTTATGTGGAAAATGGCATTCATTTTAATAGAGTATTTTTATATCTGCAGCTTAATTCTGTAAGCAAAGAGCCACTTGTAGAATAAGCATAGGGAATTTTTCAGAATTGAAACCTGCCAAAATAGGTTAATCTGCAAGCTGTCCTTAAGAAAATGTCTATTTTAAAAACAGTAATGTAGGTCCCAGTGTAGCAAAATACTTTAAATACTGATATCGAATAGATTAGTAAAGCCTTTGCAGCCAGTAGGACTGTTCCATTTGTTGAGTTCAGCACAGCTTTGAAAATGCTCTAATGATTTGAATCTAAAAGCAGTGCTTTATACTTCTGAGGATACATAATTATACCAATATCAGCTTGCAAAATCATTTTCGATGTTTATTAACGCTGTCCGTTTTAAATAGGGAACATTGGAAATGCCTTTGGAATAACATTTTTCTAGGAAGAGACAGTTTCAGCCCTTGTCCTTGTCACAGATACAAAATTGATTATAACCAGTTAAGGTTTGTGAACCAAAAAAATTATTTTATTGCTGGATGCACAGTAATGGTTTTTATAAATAAATTTAAGTATAATTACAGAATTTTTTTCTCTTGTTTTATGCACTTAAAATTCCACTTTGGGTGGCATTAAGTGACTGATAATAAACAATGCTTCATATGAGATCATCTGTGAAATTGTGGTTTGTCAGCCCATTATTAATTTCTATTTGTCTTTGCTAATTCCACTCTTAAATAGAAACAATTTTTAGAAAGCACCAGTGTAAAACCAGCCTGCATTCCTTTTCCAAGACTTATTTTACAAAGACTGCAATGAGAAATTCTCTCTGAATATCAAACTTAGCTAAAAAAGAAGATAGCCTGCTCAGAGTAAATAATAAAAAAACATCAAATCGAGACCTGGTTACTACTGCTGTGGTTCAGTGCACATGAAATTCAGTAGGAGGATCTCACTTTATTTGTGGGCTTCGTGTTAATATTTTCTTATAACTGAAAGGAGATGCAATCATTTAGGATTCCAGAAAACTTCCTTGTAGGTAGAAATAGATTAAAACAAATTAGGCTAAAGGTTCCTGGTTTGTTTGCTATTGGGAACATTTATCATGCTGCGTTACAAGATTGATTGAAGGTGATGTGATTAAAAGGTAACTTGTAGACATTTTATAGGTTAATGCAAACAACTTTGAAGAAACAAGTTAACCTTAAAACTTGTATTGCTAATAATGCCATTTATTATCATTAGAAATCCCAGAGGACATGGTTGGCTTTCTGATTGTCGACTTAGAAATCTTCAAGCACTTTGGCTGCTGCTTCTGCTGATGTTGCATAAAATGAAGTATTAAACTTTTTTCTAGAAGTTGAGTTAAAATTCCAAGCTACAGATTTCCACTGTCTGTAAGGGAATAACTTTTTTTTAATTTTTAAAAATAAATTAGTTTAACAGATCTGAATTAAGTCAGCAGATATTTTTTCACTGAACTGCCAAATGAAGGAACAATTGTTCTTTGCAGTTGTCTTTAAGTAATATTTAATGACCAACTGCTATTAAGATACCCTGTGATTTGTAGTATTTGCAAAACTGTACTTAGGACATCTCAATACCTTTAAAGTAAATCTTTATTTTCAGCTGTTCTCGTTCAGCAACCAGTCTGTCACAGAATGTTGTTGATGCTATCAGTGGTAGAAGCTTCTGTAGAAGTCTATTAATACTTGGCCTACTGCTCTTTTGTACCAGGAAATGGAACAAAAGTAGATTTTGCTGAAGCTTCAAGTTTTTTCAACACTCTTATAGCAAAACCGATAAAGTATATATGCATGCAGCACATTGAAGCTGTAGTACTGAGTGTCACTTCAATATTGTGTTCTTGTTTCTAAAGTGTTGAGAATTATGAATCTAATGTTGGTTTTAAAATAGGAGGCATGGAAATTAAAAAAAAAAAAAAGAGACCTTTCACTTCCTTTACTAACAGTACATATGTAATCTCCGACGTAATGAAGTACAGAAATTGTCCTAAATATACATGTGCAATTTTCATTCACAGATAATTCGAAAAGTAGATAAACAAACAGCGTTATTGGATGCAGATGATCCAGTATCGCAGCTCCATAAATGTGCATTTTACCTTAAAGACACTGAGAGAATGTATTTGTGCCTTTCCCAGGAGAGAATAATCCAATTTCAAGTGAGTTGTTTAAAACTATTTCAGTAGATGAGAAGTGTGGTTGCAGAGTTTTCCCAAATATTCCCAAAATATGTACGAATGCCAGTTTTGCAGTTGGTTTTGAATGTGAGTCTATTACTTTGTTTTGAAAAGACAGAAGATGGAAAGCAACAAGCTTTATCTGTCCCTTTCCAAATCTGTTTTTCTTTTCTCATAACCTTCTTCCATGTCTGTCTAGTCAATGAATTCTCTTTCCTCCAATGGAAGAAATGGAAACACTCTAGGAACTTGTGCATGCCCTTATACTGTGGTTTAACATGCTGACATATGCCAGCGGAGTTGCACCACTTACTTGTGTCCATTTCTAGATTACATCATCATGAGTTTCAGTGAGTGATTCCTAGTTCCAGTTTTGCAGGATTAAGTGAGCAACAGTTCTGCATTCATCTTGCCCATCAACATCTTAGTTTCTTATCTCCAAATGGGAGAGTCACAGTGTTTTCAATTTCTTCTTATAAGGTCAGCAGCTCCTTGGTGATTTTAGTTGCCCCTTCTGTATCTTCTCTTTTTTCACCATGGCTTTCTTAGATGGGGAGACTGTAACTGCACACAATATTCCAAAATTGGACGAACAAAGGATTTACACTGACAAAATAGTACCTGATACCTTGTTCTCAATATTTTTTTTTTTAATGGTGTCCAATATTGTGCTGCCATTTGCAACTGCCATTGCATGTTGAGCTGGTGAGTTCAGAAAACTATCAGTGGTTACTCCAGGATCCTGAGTTGTAACTACTACTTCCAAGTTCAGTATTTTATGGGCATCGTTTACAGAACTTTTCTCTAGAAACCTCACTTTTAGCTAACTTTAAGCTCATTACCACTTTTTTGCCCTCTCTGTCCAAAATGAGATAAGAATGAACATAAAATCCCTGCAATTTTAACAGCATTTAACTACCTGAAAAATTTAGGATTATGAAGAAATTTGAAGATTTGGTTTCACCAGCACACTGGCGAGGACATTGAATAAAACTGATTGCAACACCAGTCTCGGGGAGGAGACTGCACTGTTGGTTTTTGTGCATTTTGAAAGGAGAATTACTGTTAAGTTCTGCCATTTGCTTTTTGCTTTCCTTTAATTAGTTTTCTACTTCTAAAGCAAACCCCACAGCTTTTTCTAATCCATTATAATTTCGTTTCTTTAATATCTTTTGGTATAGAGCTTTCTTGAGGTTTTTTTGGGGAGGGTGGGGGGGGTGTTAGCAGTATTCAGTTGTTGAATTTTTTTTTTATTTTTTTTTTTTTTTCCTAAATCCAAACATATTATATTCCTTGTATTCATGTTGTCTGTGTCCTTGTTGTGTTTACCAGTTCTTGGGGAATTCTGTCCTTTATCTGTTGTCTATACAATTGTTTGTTTCCCATCCTGTCTCCATGTGAAGCCAGTCAATGCATGAGGTGCTAAGCATGGTGTTAAGGCATTTCAGTCTTCCAGTGCCACCTGTTGAGAGAGTTTGGTTAGGAAATGAAAGAGGGGGAAGGAAAAAAGTATCTGGAGGTAAACTGCTGTATTTGGAAGTGACAAAGAGGAATGCTTCTCTAGAAGTAGAATCATAATCTTTCAAGGATTTCAGTGACAGAAGGAAAAATGTGTTCCTAAAATGATTCTTCACATAGGAGGACTTTCGGAACAAATTCTGTGGCATTTACCTTCCACTTTGTGGCAGGGGCTTAGCAGATCTGGAGAAGCTAGTCAAGGTTCTTGTACGTGGTCATTCATTTTTTGCTAGCCATGATATTATATTTCATGCGTTAAAGTACATTAGTACATGCCAGCAAGAATTGTAGTCAACCTACAGGAAAAATGTCATGCACCAAAATAGTGTGCAGCAGTTCCAGTTTTGAAGTTGGGCTAGTAATTTAGAAGGTCCATATGTTTCTAATAAAAATAACGGTTGGGTTTTGAGCTTGGAAAGATCTGTAGTTACTATCCTTGTTGCACATTTCCCTTGCAAGCTGTTTTCAGTGCTTTTTTACATAGTCATATCAGAATGAAGAGTCAACACGAGAATGCAGCTTTGATCTTAACTTCCTTTCATCTGAACTGGTAAATGTGTGTGAAATGAAGTTTATCTAAACAGTTTTGAAGAGTGAAGGTTATGTTTACATACCTAGATATCCTTAAAGCGTAACGGAAGAAAACAGAATTTAGGTATTAAAATTTTTGAGTCCCATTTTTTTCTGTGTGTGTTTAACCTATACACAGCTTCCTTATTTGTTTCTAGATGATAGAGTTGTTCAGAGAAATTTTTGTTTACGTAAAAAGTAGTTGTCAGTATATTTTCTGTCTACGTATATATATGTATACGTACATAGTAATATTTACAAGTAGACAGTTGAAAGTTTCTGGGTAATTTCCAAGGTCATTTCAGCTTCTCTCCCATGTCTTTGCACAAACACTGAAATACAAGCTTATGTTTTCCATCATTTTGTGGATGGTGAAGAACACTCAAGAAAAGAAATCTTGGCCAGATGAAAATCATAACTAATGAGAATTATTCCACTTCAGTCTGTAGCTGTTTTAGTCACTTTGCATTAATAAAAATCTATTTTAAAATAGCTAATTGTAGTTGCTGTAGTTTGTTGATTAATGGCTACTGAATAGTGTTAAAACTTTGAAAACTGAACTAAAATAAAACCCAATAATAACAGAAGGTTGGAGAGTGACAGTATCATATATGAGAGTTACAGTGTACTCACAAGTCTTAGTTTTCTACTAGTTTTGCTGAAATGTATGTGACTCTCTAGGTCATTTTGTTAGAGGAAAAACATAAGGAAACATGTTTTTGAAATAAGACATTGTTACTGGCTGTGTTGGTTTTTAGGTCTCTGACTTGACAAACAAGTCTACAGGTCATTTTTAAAACTTTTCTTTCTTTCTAAGGCCACTCCATGCCCAAAAGAACCAAATAAAGAAATGATTAATGATGGAGCTTCTTGGACAATCATTAGCACAGATAAAGCAGAATACACATTTTATGAGGGGATGGGACCGGTCCATGCTCCAGTGACACCTGTGCCTGTTGTAGAAAGTCTTCAAGTAAGTTTATTTTTTTAAAATCAACTCATATGTGCCGTTATTTTTGTCATACTGATTTAACCTTCATGGTGCCTTTTGTGGAATGCTGTAGGAAAACATTCTTACTAGCTTTATAAATAGGAAAACTACTTTATGTTGTAATAATTTCTTGCCTACATTTCAGAATACATGAGCCTATCCATCACAAAATAATATAATGATCTATACATTAAGAATTTTATTTCTTAAAATGCTATGGTATTGATATCCTTAGGACTTATACTTCTGGTTGATTGTTTAGAAATTTATTTTGGCTCTTAAAACAGCCAATTATAGATCAAAGAGAGCCAGACAGAAACCTTATTAAGAAAATCAGCATTCTGCTGTGCAAAAACTTGGAGCTCTCCTGACACATTCTCTGAAAGATTCTTTGTTCTTTCTTTTCAAAGCCTTGATGACTTGTATGCTAAGTGGCCACTATCAAAACTTAGAAGTTCCTTCAGAATATCAAATTAATTGGCAGTATCTTTTAGATGTGTTACTTTACAGTTCAGTTGTGTAGGTGTGTTTGTTTCGGTTTTATCCAGCTGATAAACAGCACTGTTTACAGCTCCTGTACCCATGTGAAGCATTTTTTTTCTCTGGGGGGGGGGTATTTGTTTTTACTAATACATGGGTTTTGGTGGATTTTCTTCTTTTTTCTATTCACTCCCTTTCCAGTTGAACGGTGGTGGGGATGTAGCGATGTTGGAACTTACAGGACAGAACTTCACTCCAAATTTACGTGTCTGGTTTGGGGACGTGGAAGCTGAAACCATGTACAGGTGCAGTATTTCCTACTACTTTTATGTTGGTTACATTTTACTGCGTGCTTTGAAGAGTGTATATTCATGTGTATACTCTCAAGTATGCCCTGCAGAAAGGGATCTGGGAGTGCTGGTTGACAGTAGGCTCGATATGAGTCATCAGTGTGCCCTGGCAGCCAAGAGGGCAAACCACATCCAGCCGGTCGAGAGAGGTGATTATCTCACTGTATTTAGCAGTGGTGCAGCCTCGCCTTGAGTACTGGGTGCAGTTCTGGGCCCTCCAATTTAAGGAGGACATGAAGGTCCTTGAATGCATCCAGAGCAGGGCAACAAATCTGGTGAAGGGCTGGAAGGCATGTCCTGTGAGGAGCGGCTGAGGACTCTGGGCTTGTCTAGTTTGGAGAGGAGGAGGCTGAGGGGCGACCTCCTTGCTCTCCACAGCTTCCTGGGGAGGGGACGTGGAGAGGGAGGTGCTGAGCTCTTCTCCCTGGGATTCAGTGACAGGACGTGTGGGAATGGCTCAAAGCTGCGCCAGGGGAGGTTCAGACTGGCCATCAGGAAGCATTTCTTTACCGAGAGGGTGGTCAAACACGGGCACAGGCTCCCTAGAGAGGTGGTCAATGCCCCAAGCCTGTCAGTGTTTAAGAGGCATTTGGCCAATGCCCTTAACAACAGGCTTTAAGCTTGGTCAGCCTCCAGTGGTCAGGCAGTTGGACTAGGTGAGCGTTGTTGGTCCCTTCGAACCGAACTGTTCCGTTCTATTCCGTTCTTTAAGAGTAAGTTGACTCTCCTATTTTTCAGATGCGCAGAGAGCATGCTATGTGTTGTTCCAGACATTTCTGCATTTCGAGAGGGTTGGAGGTGGGTCCGTCAGCCAGTCCAGGTTCCAGTAACTTTGGTCCGTAACGATGGCATAATTTACTCCACCAGCCTTACCTTTACATACACACCGGAACCAGGGCCAAGACCACACTGCAGTGCTGCTGGAGCAATCCTCAGAGCCAACTCAAGCCTCATGGCTTCCAGCGAAACAAATACAAACAGCGAGGGAAGTTACACAAACGTCAGCACAAATCCAACCAATGTCACATCATCTACAGCAACTGTAGTTTCCTAACTACTGTTGTTTGTCTGGACTTGAACTGACTTTTACGTGCTACATTCAAGAGAACTGAACAATTTTTGTGGTTTCATGGGAAAACACCTTTCCATTTTAGGTGATGTTATTTGAACCTTGTTACCTGCAAGTGCTGATCTTAAATATAGAAGCCACAATAAAAAAAAATACAAAAAAAAAAATACAAAAAAAACCAAACATCCGAAACATAAGAACTTTATTGAAAATCTATTTTTCAGCTGTTTTTTTTAATGGGCAAGAAACAAAAAATGTGGCTGGGATATATGTTGAGCAAACTAGGAAACATGAACACAACATAGTTTTTATGGACCAAGGAACTTGTATAAGCTTTAGTATAAAAGGTACATTTTCACCATACCTTTTTTGTATCACAACATATAGTACACTTTTGTTACCAAATAGTTTATATTTTTTTTTCCTCTGAGCTTTTGCTCTGAAGTATATTCAGGTTCCAAGCCTGACCATGCTTGTATAATCTAATTACCATACTCTTCCAGTTTTAAAAAAATATATATATTTTTGGTCTGTGGCTGGAACTGTTCCTTTTTTTAAACTGAAGTCTTGTGACTTTTTATGAACTGAAATTGTTTTTATTTCAGCAAGTAGAACCTTGTAAAGGCCAGCATATTTTTTTTAAGATTATATGAAGTCTGTGCAAAAGCTTTAAAAAATGCCTCTGCCTTGCCTGCAATACATGCAATGTATGTTAACTTTAGTGCTCTGTTTTCAGTCATTGTTAATAGTTATTTCTGTTTTCCTTTTTTAAATATGTATTTATAGTGATAATTCATGAGGTTCTAACATTACATGAGTTTTTTTTAAAGTGGCATCTCAAGCAGTCATATTAATGATTGTTCATGTCACAGGCATATGTTGGTGTTTTTGAAGGGTTGTTACTGGGTTACTCCCCCTCTTCCTTGCTCAGTCATACTACATCTGAAAATGTTTCAGGATCTGTTCAGGTTTTTCTAATCTTGTACATAATTTGTATTAAGTGTAAGTTAAATGTTTTATTTCGAAAGTGGAATGTTCCCAATAATTCATTTGGCAGCATGTCTTCTGTCTTGTTGGCGTGTAACTAAAATACCATGAGAAGTATGTGCTACAAATGGGATTGGTAGGTGATGCCCTTCATCACTTGAGAATCACAAGCAGCATGTTTTTCTTCATACTGTTCAGTAAATTAGGCCAGACTTTGGTGTAACACTTGTATTGAGAACGTGCTTTCATTGTGAAGTGATCATACCATAATAACTAGAAGTAAATTTTATTACTTAGAAATGTTCAAATAGAAAATTGTAAAAGCACTATGAAGATGTCAACTCCTCTCATCCTTATTTCCTGTGGGTTTCTCTTTCCCTGCCAACAGCTTGTGCAACGTTCAAGTCTTCTCTCCATCATAAATGCAAGGCTCATTTGCACTTTGACTTTGTTGGTTGTTGCATTTGTTTTTCATTTTGACTTTGCCATGTTTTGTCCCTCCTTGCAGACCTGCCTGCTTCATTTGTATTTGAAAGTATACCCCAGTAGGTCATTTGTAGTCTCCGAACTAGGTATAGACTCATAGGACAAGTTCTGACAGTGTGATCTTCCTCTTCAAAAGCCAAAATACAAATGTTATGGTATGTTCAGCCTTTTCTGTACCCTGAAGCAAGAGTCACAACTGCTGTGTAAATCGGAACCTGTGGCTTTGCCCTGTAGGCATTGCTTACAAGCTTTCCTGTTGACCATTTTCATAGGGTTTTTGTTTCTGACCACTTACTCCCGTTTCGATGCCCACCACCATTTTAAAGCATTGTCTCTGCACCGTATTTGTGAACTCTGACGCTCCATTTTACTTGTTTGCTTTAGTGCTCTGTTGTATGTGTGAAAACAATGTGGTTAAAGGAAGAAATCGGTTATGAAGCATATTTAGCTAATAGTAAAATCAGTGCCACTGTCCTTCTAAAACGTGCTTGTATTTTACCACAGGCCTTCATATTTGCTCTTCTCTGTTACAAAACTTGTTCCCATGACATAGTCACAATGCTAGTTGTTAGCACTAGTGAATACTGCCTCACCTCATCTGTTTCAGTGACCAAGGGCAGAATTCATTGTGGCCTTATCTCTGTTTTAAACTGTTTACTGGCATTTACTTGCAAATCTGTTTACCTTTGTATGTGCTATAAGATTTTGTTTTAATTGTGTTGTGGCAGGAATCATTTCACGGTGTTTTTGTTAGAAGCACATAAATATCTTGCGGTATGGCTTAGTTCAAAAGCCACAAATTTTCATCAATAATTAGACTGAGAATTAAAATAAGTGAGATAGATATATAGATATAGATATAGATATATCTATATATCTATCAGATTTAGAGGGTATTCAAGAACAAACCATGATATACACACAGTAGGCAAACCATAACAAGCCTTTTAACCTTCAAAGACTATTTAAAATAGCTTTTCAGAACTTGACATGTGCTTTTGTACTCATTTTAAAAGTTTTACATATAAATGCAATACTTCTTATATTCAGTTTCTTTACTTGCAGTAATTTTGCCCAGTAGATGTAATGTTCCTTGACTTGTAAAGAACCTAATGACTTAGCCTAATTTCTGCTGTTCTACACACTACAGCCAAGTGGGTGAAAAAAAAGAGACTATTATGTTCTGCTTACAAGACCATTTTAAACCCCATTTTTCCCTTGGGCTTGTGGCTCCGTTGTTTCCGGTAGTTATTTTGTAGTACAGAAATGGTCTTCCAGGTCCTTACTGTTGTTAAGATGTCCAGTTGTTCAGATAGATTATCTTCCTGAACTTTTTCCTGTGAGGTAATATTGTTACATTTATTGGCCTTGTGAGCTGTTAATCAATTTTCATTATATTAACAATATCTCAAGATTTTGATAAAACTGCTTTTAGAATGTTTCAGTATGAAACTATTATAACTGTTCAAGTCTAGCTGTTAAGTCTGCTGTTAATTCTATATACATAGAAATTGAGTCTGTGTTCAGAATGTTGTTATAGCTCCAACTATAGGAAGAAAAAGCAAATTAAGTGCTCAAATTTAGCTATGCCTTTTCTTGTTTTCTTTTGTTTGGAACTGCATTTCAGAATTCAACACTAGCGTAGTCTTTAATAATCTGCTGCTGATGTTTTTCCTAATTATTTGCCCTGGGGGCATCCCACGACTGTGTTAATAATGGTATTCTGTACTTCTTTTCATTGCATAGACTTGTAAGATCAGAATGGTTACCTGAAAAGACATGAACTCAAGACATAAATCAGTGAATTTCCCATATACAAAATATTAATGCCAAGTGAAACAAATTGTCTATTGGAAGTAAGCTACCCACTTGTAGATTAAATGACTCCATGGAGGTGTCTGTCTTGAAACTAAGATGTTCTTCAATTATTAACCATATTCTTTACTTTCTTTCAAAAGCAGCTGTGTTTATGAGTACTGAACAAATGTGTAGTTTCCTGTGCCAGACTTTTGACTTTGTTTTCAAGCACTGTACTGTGGGATTGAGTGGCAGCTTTGTTAGAAAAAGAAGTATGTTAGGGTTTCTATTTAACCCTTTTAGGACTGAACAATTTCTTCCTTTTAGAAGCTGTAAAATAAATGAGCAGTTCTAACTTTGTAAACATTCTGTCTGTGTTCAGCACTGCATTTGCCCCATCTGGAGGTGCTATGCTAATGTCTTTTTTTTTTTTTTTTTAAATCCTGTAGCATGTGTATACATTCAGTCTTAAAAGGGTTATTTTTACAAACTGTGCACCTGTAAAGTTTCTTAGCAATAAGATAGAAAAATGAGCAAGTTTTTACCATAATTTTGTAGAATTAATTGCTCAGTTCCATATTTCATCAAGAAAAACCCTGCAATATGGGCAGTTTTGAGGATTAAATAAAAGTGAAATGTAAACCACATAAAAGTGTTTTTGTCAAGTGTACTCTGTGTGTGTATGTGCATATACTATTGGGTTTTTTTTCTACAAGGCTAAAGATAAAATGCCATGTTACTGTTAATGTGACAAACATAATTGAACATATGTATGATGATATAGAAATAGTTATAATTTGATCAGGTGTTGAAACTTGCCACTTTTTTCTGGGTTTTTTTCAATGTTAACCAAGAAATATTTTTTTTTGTTTTGTTTTGTTTTTTTGTGAATGAACAGTGAGGTCATCTGTGGAACCAGAACAACACAAAAGAAGACCAACCCCAGGAGTGGAAAAGTCATCAGTAGTTGTGAGGCTATGCACACTGGACTCCACTTAAACGGGATATGGAATGTCCACCCAAAAACTAAATCGGTTTCATTATTGCTTGTATTATTGCTGGAGTTAGATAAGAAACTGTTTTTTCCAATAATGTAAAAAAAAAACAACAACAAAAAAACCAAAACCAAAACAAAACGGTTCACTTTTTTGTATTATTTATTAAATAAGAAAAAATGAACTCTGTTTAATTGTTTAACTGTAGCAACTTTGTTATTGCAACTAGTATATCTGACATTTTCATCCTTTTCTTAGTTGCAGACTGATATTTCTTTCATTTGGTTAATAATTAGAACTAGGAATTTAGCAAGCTAGCTTATTTCTTGCTTTGACAGAATACTCTGTAAGACTATAAGGAACAACTAGAAATAATGCGCTCTTCTAGTTTGCAAGCACAAGTGACACAGTCACTTGAGAAAAGTTTCTGAGATGGGAAGTGGACACAACAGAGAGAATTTGGAATGACAGAAACCTGCAAGTACTAGTTTTGTATTCAAGTAGTACTAGAACTACTACCTTGTCGGTAAGACTGTGAAGAGGCCAGAAGTAGTTGTTAAGAGGGTGTGGGGAAAGTGTTAGAAATTTCCTTGGAAAAAACAGATCATTTGACAATAAGGAAGCATTACAGATTTTTTATTGAAACATCTGTGAAGGTGAATGCCATTGTTATTAAGACACATAAAATAGCTCAACACTGGTAGAGCTTCTGCTGTTTGAAACAGGGACAGTATGGTCAGATTAAATTTCAAAACTACTTTAAAGACTTGCAGTCTGTTTCTGAAATAATAAATTGATTCTTCTGGAAAAGAATAAAATTAGATCTGAGGTTTTGGCAAAGAAAACCATCATTTGCTAAACTTTAGTGTTAGTATAGTTGGAAGAAATTGTGTGGGATGGTGCTGGTCTTAGATGAACTACAGATATAAAAAAAAATCTCTTCATCTAAGCTTTGGCAATTAACGGTATAGATAGTCTCAACAATAAATCCTGTTAAAATCCAGAGCAGAGGATTAAAAGAAGAATGGTGTGAAATTATTTGGCAAGGGGAATAGGTTCTTTTGGAGGATTACATGCAATATGTGCAATTTCAGCACATTCAGAATGGCAGAACTGGGACGGGTAGTTTACCTTTCACAGTGCCCTATGTAGATTGGAGTCGCATGCTTCGAAGGACAGAAAAAAACCTGTATATGCTCAATTAGTGTGTCTGTAAAGGATATTTATTTCTGATATCCAGCAGCACATGCTTACTGTGAGGCCAAAAGCATGAAGAGTTACTGCCTATGTTACTTATTTTTAAATACTTTTGTATTGAATATCACCATTGATTATATATGCTAAAGAGAAATAAGTTGAGGAAATCTTTTTAGAACCAAACTTGCAAGCTAACTGATATCTGAAAAAGATCTGATAAAGCCTTCTGAATTTGACATCTTTCAGGTTCTGCTTCTCCTTCGAGTATGAAAAGGGATGGTTAAAAGTTTGCTGTCATCTTTTCCATGTGTTACTGCCTTTGTCTTCTAGTCTCAGTTCCCTTACTTTTCATGTGTGCTTTTCCAGATCCTTAATTCACAGTTTTTCTTGGGAAGTGTAAATTTTTCTGCATAGTTTAGGAGGGGAGTCGGTGTTAAGTAAGGTGAGCTGTGACTTTTGAGACTTAACGTGCTGTCATCTCTGTTCTGTTTCTACTGTTGTGCTGTGAGGGAGAAAGAAATGTTAGTTGGTTGGTTTTTAAGCTTCTTGTAGATACATTGGAGTTTTTTTCAGACCTGGCCTTAATGATCTACAGGCCTTTATCTAAAGATGGCACATAATTTGGAACCTTTTAAAGGTGCCTGTGAATCTTTATCTGAATTTAGAAAATCTTTGCTGCTTATTCATTTTACAATTAAATTTGCTGTCATGTTGCCCCTTCATCTATGTTCGTTAAAACCTTCAGTCTTCTCTGATTTTAACTAAAATATCTTTGTTGTATTTGCTGATTTGTTCACTGGGAAACGTGTCCATTTCCTCCTCTATGAATCCCCACATGTGTTTCACAGGCAAGATGGGACCTTGTGCCATTCGAGCTGCTTCTGTGCCATGCCTCCATCTCTTACTTTCTACTTTAGCTTCTTCTGAATGACAACTTTGAGGCCTTTGAAATACAAATAAATAATAGCAACTGCATTAATTTTTTCGTTGCTATACCAGTACATTAAAACATTTATAATAAATTGCTCTTCACTGGACATCTTTTACAGAAGGAGTAATTTTGTTATAGAAACTGAAGCCCGACAGACTATATCATCAGAATATTTTTAAGATCTTAATAGTTCTTCTTGAAGAATGACTTCAATAACTGTAGAAAAGATAGAAGCACAGATCTATACATACTATGTTTTCTGTCTTGTAATTGTCTTTTTTAATAGCCAACTGGTCACAAACATATAATTAGTTCTTAAAACCTCGAAGTGAGTTTAATTCTGGTTTGAGCCCATGACTTTTTTTTTTAAAAAGTTTGTTCTACTGTTTCTTCTTGATTTTGATAATTTTGATAGATTTGTGCATAATCTATTTAGAGTTAATCCAGCCAAGGCATCTGTGCTATGAAGTGGGATGTGATCCTGAGATCCACATTGTTATGTTCATTACACATGGCAGAAGTGACAGCAGTGACTTCAAACTTGGTTTTTGGTCTCTATCCAAGGCAACTTTGCATGATACTTCTGTATGTAATTGCAGTTTAGTTGCCTGTGAACTAAATATTTCTTTACCTGCATAAACATCTCAGGCAGCACCATGTAGATGTAAGTACACATTAAGAAAAGAACACCAAACAACAAATGGTTGGTTTGTATCTTGTTAGTTTCCATTGTTCCCTTTTGTCCCCAGTAATTACATTACTATCATGTCTTAAATGACGTATTTTTGTTAGTCTTGTACTTTTTTCTGTTTGTTCTCAATTAGATGTGCTTCAAATTCCCTTTCAGTTCTCTGCCAACAGTCCTGGTGGAAATTGGGAAAGGGCAGATAGAGGATTCGTAGTGACTGAGTCTACTGCCTTAAACATAATTGGGAATTCCCCAAAAACGTGAGAGATTCAGCAACATGATTAGATTTTGACGTGAAAGAAATCATTAGGTTAGGAAATTGTGTATCTGATTTTTTTAATATCTTGGTCTTAACAAAAGGTATTTCTGTGCTTTGCTTTTGAAAACAGGAATTTTAAACGTTCTCTCACTGTTAAACATAATTCTGTGGAATTCTTTGTTTGCAAGATTGAGGAAAAAAGCACCTCAGAAAACTGCAGATTTGCCTCGGTGTCAATGCAGTTTCTAACACAGCATCTACCTTATTCTTTTGAGGGAAGGAAGCAAGCAGTGGCACTGGTCCTTTATCCTACTCAGATTTTGTAGGTGTTGCAGCCTGATTTGTGCAACAGTCATTTCAAGCATTGTGTTTAAGTATAGTTGCTAAAGTGGCACAACCTGACAATCTGCAGTAATACAAAGCAGAATGCCATATGAAACCTTAACTTTGTTTGTTTTTTTTTTTTTTTTTTTTTTTTTTTTTGTTTTTTTTTTTTGTTTTTTAATCTTGTATTGACATAGTAGGCAACTAAAACTATATTCTTGAAGAAGTAGGAGTTTGGTTTATTTTTTTCCAAACGAAAATGTCTTGTGGCAGTGCTGTGCAGATTGCCAATTAGTTATTACAGATTTCAGAATAGAGTTCCAAGCAAATTAGATTAATTCTGAAGGGCCTGATGTGGGTTAACCTTTGTGTGGGCATGTGCATCTGTTTTAACAGTCCTTTTGCTGCTCCATACTGGCTTTTTACAGCATGCCAGGGTTGAAGGAGCCATCTGGGTTTTGGACTCTGCTTGATGTGATGACCTCAGTTGTGAGACTGATGTTTGTATCATCTTCACAGTTTCACACCTTCAGAAAGTTTTCTACATCAATTTTTGGTTAAACAGTTTTACCTTGGAGATTTAGTAGACATGCAAATCAAGCAGTGGTCTCAAAAAATGATTTATTCTTTACTTAACATGTTTATAAGGAAAATTATTTTCCTTATTTGGGGAGGATAAATACAATCAGTGAGTGTTTAAGCTTTATAATATATCTGCGCTTTCTACCAAGTAGTTCATTTTTTCAAGTTAATAACAATTTTATGCTACTTACTCAAAGAAAAAAATGTTATGTGATTTGTATTTTTGTTTTGTATTTTTACCTTCAGATATCTTGGCTCTTGAGTTGTCAGGCGGCAAGTGTGTTTCATCCTTAAACTTATGATCTGGGTGTCTTTATGTTCTGGGCTTCTTTGGAACTCAGAGCTTGAAATGATACATTTTGATAAAATTCTGCTTTTGCACAGCTTTTTAGTGTCAGCTTGCAGGTAAACTTACAGAAAATGGGTACCAGCTACCAATATAAATGTGTTCAATTAGAAAACAAAAAAAAAATCCATCTCCTCTCACTGGACGTTAGGATGGTGAAACAAACTAGGCTTACTGCCTGCATGGGATTATCTTCACAGCAAGGAGAAAAATTAAATATGTCATGCAGTCATAGCTTTTAAAAATTATATGTGAATCTCTATTTGCAGCTTGTTCCTCCAGCTACCTTGAGGAATACAGATATGAAATATGGGTAGAGTTTTGC